AGTAGACGTTCATCGCTAGCATGGTACGACCAGTATTAAATTTTGAGGATGGCAACAATCTCTGAAACTTCACCTTAGCAAGGTGAGCCTCATCTAGTGAGGGAGAGAATGTAACTCAGCTCATGTTGTTCGCGGGGAATCGTTCGATGTGTTTCTGAACAGACTCCAGCCCTGTGATTTTCAATCAGCGATGGAGTAGAAGAAACTCGAATGAAAAACCTCAGGGAATCTCTATGTTTGATTTCGTGCGGCGTGCGGAAATATGTAGGGCGAAGCTAATATTGCAATTATTCGTTCGCGCATCTCACACTTCCGAGCTCCTCGCGTCTTTCCCATCAATTGATAGTAGGGGCGAATCAAAGTATATACGATTCAATCGGATTTCGAGTTGTTTCTGTGATTGTTGGTGCTCGGGTCAGTCATCTTTCGACCTCGAAATGACCAGTATCATCCGCCTCTTCATCATCGGCGTTCTCTTCGTCCTAAACTCTTGCGCTTTGAAAGTGAGAACTCCTTGAGACTGCCAAGCTGAGAGCAATTTCAATTCATTCGATCCCAAATTTTCCTATTGAAGCATTATCTTCAGTTGACTGGTAGGGGAGCAGGTCGCGGTGCCGGCAAGAGTCCCGAAGGAAAGCAACACCTAGGCAAAACGAAGATCGGAGCAATTTCAGAGCTCGAGCGGAATGGGAAGGAGCACCGCGCGAAGCAGGAACAAAAGGATAAAAAAAAGGATAAAAAAAGCTGGTTCTCTCTAGCGTAAGTCATGATGTGATGAGCTGGTTCATCATGAATCGCTCATCAGGTTTTCCGGAAACGAAGGGGACGCTGAAAAGAACAAGGAAAAGTGAAATTACCTGTGATGTTGCGCATGTGTTGTCTGCTGTGGAACCAACTCTTGTTGTGTTTGAGTCCCGGTCAGTACGTAACATTAATTCGGCATTAGCGGGTACAGTGGCAACCCTCCACAGGGGGCGACGATTTTTGAGCATGGCCAATTCTATGTGGGGAGTGAGAACCCGTTCCGCCCTTCGGGCCGAAGGCGTCGGCGTTAAATTAATGGGCGCCAACGAAACGTGTTGCGAGCGTGCTACATAATGTACTACATTATATAGCACGCTTGCATTAGTGGTACTACACTCAATGTAGCACCACTAAGGCTTGTAGCATCAATATGATACACCCATAACGCTCATGATTTTTTCTCCGCCGAGTCCAACTTTTCCTTCGACACCAACGGTTGACAGAAACGACCCAAGTCGATGTGATCCCGCAAGGCCTGATAATATTAGGCTAATATAACACCTTCACGCGTACCATACGTTCGACGCGTTCTGACAGTTTATACGAGTGTGACGACAGGATATAAGATGGCTGTGTAACACACTTCGTTTTCGCATATACTTGCGCGAAGTGTTTTGATAAACTATTTAAACAAGGAGATACACACTGGTGGAGCGTATCAAGTTTATGCGTGTGAACTCGACCCGCTCTTTGACTCATGCCTTGGATAGCAGCAGTTTGTTGACATGCTCGCCCTCCTGAGGTGCTGTGAATGGGGAAGAATATTTTTCCCCAAGTCGTACCACTGGTTAGCGATCGGTTGGTAGCAGTTTTCCACTGATACATGCTTATTGAGGATTTCATTGAATCGATTTCGCTATCACCGTAATCCGCTTCGGAAAACCTCTTCCAGTCATGTAAGGATGATTGAAGTATGTAAGACATTGACGCTTCACCTAAGTTGTATGAAAGTTTCATAATGAAACGCTAGTGTTAAACGCAAAACGAATAACGTAATGCGAAACGAATGATTTTGGAGGTCGAAAGTCTTGACTCAAAACGCTGTGAACGTTCAGGTGATATTAACCTGGTTGTTGATAGCTTCCGTCTAGTAACGGCATATAATGGTGTAATTTGCAATCAATTATATACCAAGTTGGTATTACCAACTCTTCTGGTTTTTCTATGGTTGTATTCAATACAATGTATTATGAAACCTACTAGGCCCAGCTTCACGTTGGAAGCCGATATTGATGTATGACATACATTGTATGTCCAGAGCAAGAAAACGATCCCACATACGAGGTTCTGAATGGGACTATTGGCGGGCTGAGTCTCACTGAGGCTGCCTCAGCTGCTGAGGTTCACTAAAATCTTCATTCTGATTCGAGCCTTGGATGGTTTTCCTTGGATGATACAGATTAGATTGAACTTGAACATGTTTGGACTCGTGAGAAATGGAGCAGTGGGGCCAAATTACAATCGTGATTTCTTGTCGAGTCTTCACTGATCCAAGCATACAGTAGATTGATTGCCAACAACGTCAGTCGCGACACGACAATCGGCGTGATCCCGATCAGGCGGCCTGATTCAGGTCGATTGCCTTTCACATATAAGTTGAACTCGTTATTATCTTGAAAATTAATTTCAATTAAATATAGAGCCATGAGATTCATTATCACCGATGATCTTTCTGTGACTGGTCCAATAATGGAGTTTCACCCGTTTTACGTGAAGTGGCGTAATACTTGGCGAAAAAAGCGATATTTGCGCTACGCAGTAGTCGTGAAATATGCATTTCACTAGTGTTTTCATATCACCGGTGGTGGAACTCCAATGTACTGTCTTAAGCCCAGACTGCTATTAGTATGGTAGAACCATATTGGTAAAAACAGTCTATTCCACCCTGATGATAAGTCTAGATACAAAATTCCCGTATTTTCTCCGTTCTGTAACAGAACAGAGAAAATACGTGAAGTGTGTGATACAGTAGTACTGTAAAATACTCTCAGTATACTGAGAACATTTTCTAGTGATGAATTCGTGTATTCTGTGCTGAACTGCTGTGTTGAAGTCTCGGATATCAGAACATTTCACCAATAGCAATGGGGAAACGTCCACAGCCGCTGCTTTTGCCTAGAACTTCAGCTCCTACAAGAATGCTGAACACGGCCCTGTTTCGGCTAACTTCACCCAATTTTGGTGGGTCCATCGGGTCGCTGAGTAGTGGTTTATTTGATACTGATACTGCTCGGAAGGTAAGACGAGCGAGTAGATTGGTGCATCGGTTTCCACTATCTGGATTGGCATGGCTTTGGCGACAGTTTTTGTCCCAATCTCAACTGCCTTACAACCGTAGAACGCATTCACCTATTGCCCGAATTGAAAATGCCAACTTCAAACTGAACGGCTATAAGACGCAACTCAGCTGATAGTCTACCGCGAGAAACTGTCACCACAAGCGGGAAATAATCATGGAACCGAACGGGGTAGTCTAGGCAGCACTGAAATATTGGGTGGGAAATCATCACAGAGCAGACCATGGATGTTCACCCGATACCGTTTGGGCAAGGAGCCAGTACCGGCAAGCTCATGAAAAAAGGCGATCTCTTTGGCGCTGGGGAGATATTGTAGTAGCAGCTGCAAAGCAAAAGCAGAAAATAGGAACTTAGTTGATGAGATTTGAGAACTACTATGCCTCAGAATTTTTTATCGTAATTCATTCGTGCATGATAGCGTGATACGATGCTTAGAGGAAACCTAGTTTCACATGACAGAACAGTTGAAACGATCATACAAACGAATCATCGCCATCCAATATAATTTCATCACATGGATGGATGCATCCACTTCACAAACCTCCGCAGGAACAAGCAACGGCAACGAGGATGCGACAGCTGGAGTAACGCGCTGGGGACATTCACACGGTAAATTTGACAGCCTACAATCTACCTTCAATAGATGCTCCGAGACTTACTCAATGATCGAGTGAATGTCACAGATTGAGGTTCAATCTGCTGACGATAATAATTCATCACTCCCCAGGATCCAAATCAATATAGTGTTGGACAATCGATCCCGCTCCTCATACAGCATGGACAACCTTCGCCACAGCCGTGTATCACACACTTCCACCTAGCAAGAATATTCTTCCAATACCAGAGAGCCGGCTGTTGGCGCTGCTGCCACTCAACTGATCCGAAAATCATCGTCAATTGTGCGGCCAGGAGCCGTTGATCATCAGGGCCATCAGTGTGTGTATTCCAGAATCCGAGACCTGCCAAGCTATCTCTCATTTGCTTGCCCTCGAATACGGAAATGATCGTATCAATGATCATCACGCTGCCATAGACAAGCCAGGGGGCTATCCCAGCGTCGCGGAAGGGTATCTACCAAGAATATACTATTTGAATGGGTCTAGTCCACGCACCTTCATCGCCGTTACAGCACAGATGATTATGGCTGTATAGAGCATCCGAAGAGATACTAACAGAACTTCCTTCGAGTTGGCTGCTAGCTGATTCAAAGCAATCTCAACGTATGGCCATGGGCGGCGGAGGATCGTCGGAGTCCACAGTAAGAACAAACGTCGTGAGCACATCGCGTGGGAACCTGGTCGAAGAGATTCTGCACTGACTCACTTACATACTGTCTACCTGTTGATAATATCTGTTCCTCTCTAGCAATACAAGATCTACATTCTTCCTCTGAACCCCCGAAACGGCGATAGACATCAGTTATCGGCGGTATGGACCGCCGCCGCTCGGGGTGAGAGGGACAAGACTGTATGCACATACTATCAATATACGTGGAGCGACCATAAACGGCCTGGCGGTCTCGTTTCAGCCGTAGAAGGACCGTCGCCACGCTTGTCGCCAACGGAATCTGAGTGATTCATTGTTCCTCGATGGGAGCAATGACCTCCCTTCTGATGCTTCGCTAAGAAGCATCCTTGCATCCGCGGAGCTACGTTACTATCTACCGTTCTACGTGACAATAGACTATCATACTTATTCTTGCTGTGTAAAATTTATACTGAAATTATGTAGCTCACAGTTTACGACGATAATAATCATACGGATATTTCTGTCAATGTTAAGTCGACAGGATCCGACATATGTTACCAGAGTACCGTAAGTGAGAGAAAGGTCAAATCCACATACCAATATGCAAAACTCCGTGTACATGACGGTCAGGCTGACCGGGTCAGCAGCAGCGACATGTAGCTGGCAGCATTGCCGAGCGGGTTAATCATCTAAAAGACAAAAAGGGGCGTCAAATCTTTTCTCACCGTTTCAATGGCGCAGCATAGAGTATTGAACGCAGTGTATATAACCGGTCTATGAATACATTGGATGTATTTATAGCTCGGTTATATTACTGAGACACCATTGGGTTTCGAATGACCGGTGAATTTCTGTTGAGCTACTACTCACAGGTATTACCCACACATGACAGATGTAGAGGTCGATGAGTTCCTCAGTCTGCTGAACTACACACGTGCCTGCAAAGCAAGCTAGTTGCAGTCACACGCTGTGAGTCGCGCTAGGAGTTCCAAATATCTAACCGACTCTACTTACTAGTCCACCGCGTGAAGGCCGTCAGCGGTACCTGTTGAGGCTGTGTGGTCGCTATATGCGCGGGGTCCCCTACCCCGCGCTCTGACGGTTCTGTCCCTTAGGGGCTCACCGAGTTCTCGTCGTCTGGACTCTTACAGCTGTCAAGACTATTGTTTCCCTTTCTTCCAGACCACCGGGGGCAAGGAAGCTGGGATCGAATCTGACAACGGCTCGCTGTGTCGTCGAGATCGGTCTCGGCTAAGAATCTTACTGTCGTTTTCGGTCTCTTCGTGAGCAAACCCGAGTCCAGCTGTATCTGAGGTGCCAATTTCTGCTTCATGAAGGGGTCAAATTCATTCACACACTGTGTGTGACACACATCATGTTGAGCGCAGGGAGAGTTTGCGTTAGCAACCACATCTGATGCAAATCGGGGGACACCGCATTTGTCTTCGCCAACATAGTCTAATCCTTTAACAGAATTATTGCCTATCGACATACATAATCGAGTGACGGGAGTATAGAGCCTTGCTCAAAAAGTCATTGACGTGCAAAGTTCCGGAATCTCGTGACGGTCCACGCCATGCTATAGTCTATACCAGAACCCTTATGTAACAAACACAAATACTTGCCGGGTTTTGCCGAGGCGACCATCGAAGGCAATTCATCATCGGTGCCCGGTAGTTTTTCGAAGAAAGGCCTCGGATTGAGTGCTCCAGCAAATTGAATCATTCAATCTGACTTCAAGGATAGCAATCGTATCCTTCTGGGCACGCGCATTTCCGATAATGCTCTCAGGCACACTATTTCTTGCGGGCCCGACATTTGTCGCAGAAGTCACAAATAGCCTCTAGCCAGCAACTAATTCCTCAGTGATGCCACATTTCAGTTCTGTTGTCGAATCGACATCGACAATGTCGATGGTGCATTCTGGTCATTAAATGACCAGAAATAAAAACCACCTTTAAATACCATTTGAGTCAGCAGCCGCTTGATCAGGGATATCACAGGATGCGCCTGTCCCATTGACAGCATCGCTAAGCTCAGTCGCACGAGCATTGCCCATGGCGATCACAGCCACCGCGAGAATGCCTGTGGAGTCTAATCGCCCGTTTCAGCTGGTCTCGACCTTCCATTCGTGGAAGCTGGTCTGGCCCACAGCGCCAAGGAAATCCGCCGGAAGTTATAGACCACCACGGCGGACCGCCGTCGGCGGTACAGTATTCGGTTCTACGCCGTGTACTAAGAGGAAACCGCTTGCAGCAAATGCTAAACTCTCAGTGAAGTAACTACCTATCAATGAATCCGCACCGGAGGCTGGTCAAGCGGCGAGTCAAATTGACTCAGTCAATAGGAACATGTAATGCCGCATTACATGTTTTACGTTCGCATTACTAATGCGAACGCGGCCATTGAGAGGCAAACGCGATATTTGCGAAATACGTCCATGACTGAGTGTTGAGAGTTGAGGATAAATGTCCATATAGAAGGGTTGTTGAAGGTGGCTTTTACTCTGACAATGCCAAGTCCATTGCTCGCGGCGCCAAATTGGTGCGAGGACCTCGCAGCGAGGTTGCCTGAATTTTCCGAATTCGGAATAGCTTTCCCGAGAAAAAAGAGATTATAGTAGTTTTACACACTCGGAAATCGGAAACGTCAATTCGGAATCGAGTGATAGGAATCCCGAGCTCGGAACAAAAGCACCGCTATTTTGCCATACTTTGACTCGTCGTTTTTATCCGCGCACTAGAAATCGACTTCCCCGAAAGCTTGGACTCAAAAATCAGAGCACCTTGATCGGCTTCAGAAAAACTGTTAACCTAAGAGGCATTGCTCGCTCGTCACGCCAGAGAACTGATCTCGCTGGAAATCTATCCGCGTTGCGCTGTTTTGATGGAAAAAGCGATTCCGGAATTTTTTACCCATCATCAGCGCACCATCATTCTTCATAAACAGTCACGTATTGACTAGGAATCTTAGTCAATCTTAGTCTAAAATCCCCGCAGTGGACCATCACAACGACGATCATGGCTGCCACGAACCATGGTCAATGAGCAGACTCATATCTCGCTCGCCCCTAGCCATGTGTCGTTACATTACGGGCCGTGTACGTACGTCGAGAACAGCGGGCGCAGGTGTTGCTCAACTGCAACCTGTGCAAGTGGTCGCTCTATGTAGTGGCTCGAGTACTTGGAAAAGGAAACACTTCTAGGACTCGAACGATAAAATTTGAAGTGGATTCCGAAGTCTCAGGCAATGCCACAGTACCTACGATAGTTGGTGCTTTGTCCCACTCAGAATACGTAGTGTATGAAAATCTGCACATGGCCAACCACGTGTGTTGGTGACAATATGGCAATTCTGAGGTTGGCCGTCCACTTCAATGCTACTGCCGTCCTCCTCTGTCCCTTTACCCTCCCCTCACCAACAGGTCATGCACTCCCTCCCTGAGTGCATTTCAGCAGTACCATTAGATTTACCAGGTGAACACTTCTGTCGTTGATAATGCCGAGATGAGAGTAGGGTTAAATTTAGCTTTGACAAATATTATCCTTAACGGTTTGATAACAATGGGGGGAAATGTGCTTAAAGTGATGATGACATTCACATGGGGAACTATTCGAACAAAATGAGCTTCCTCGGAAACTTTGTAGGCTACTGAGTGTAAGTAGTAGTCGTGATAGGTCCTATCGCTAAGAGGTTCTCCCTGCACCCAAGTCCAACACAGTGCATACTGGGGTCGGGCAGCTACGCTATAGTAAGGCAACTCAAGGACAAGTAAGCGCCTGAATCTACACAGCCGTGTGAGAAAGTTTGCACATGCGCGACGACGTGTGATTGTGAGAATATAAGAAAATTTCAGGAAATTTTTGGGAAGTTCTGCTGAGCCTTCTGATTCATACGAGCTCTGGTAGAAGTGTATAGAAATTACGAAAAATTTCCTCAGAATTCCCATAAACATGTAGTTGGCCATGTGCATATTTTCCCACACGGGTACATAGTAGTGATGATATTGGTATTAGGGAAACTGGAGAGTACTATGCGTTGAAAGCAGTTCAGAAACAACCCTTGATCGCGCGGGGCATGCTCGATCGAGTTTACAATGAGATTGCTACTCACCAAGAGCTGAAACATGAGAACATTCTTACTTTACATGGGTAGTAATAGTGGTGGAGAAGGAGAAGGAATATATATCCTCAGCTGAGCTCAGGAGTTTACGTACGAATTAGGGTAGAAGTGTTGAGAAGATAATGAGAATTTCCAAAATGTTGTTGTCACCAACACACGTAGTTGACCATGTGCTTCCTTCGACACACACACTGTGGAATAAGCCTTCAAACTGCTTTTTACGGTGCAACTCGGTTTAGTACAGGGCGTTGCGGAGAACTCTGTTTTTTATGTATTTCTAGGGGGATGAGGTCATCGCAATGATTTTATGAAATCGTGTAAACTGGAGGTTCTCGAAAAGTATGAGAAGTTATATTTTTGTATCATTTGAAATTTTCTTTATATTTTTACGAAAATTTTTTGTTTGAATATACTGCAATCTCCATTACCTTTAAAAGACTATTTCAGATACTACGAGGATTGTACCCACATATACATGCAGTTGGAGCTGGCGACCGGCGGGGTTCTCTCAGACTGGCAAGTTCGATGCTTCCCCCCCTCTAGTAGGGTTCCTGAGCAACAAGCTGCTATAATATTTCGGCAAGTGAGTGTTGGAGGGAAATGTGTCCATCAGCTGAGCTCAGGAGTTTCGTCATTAGTTATGGAAATCTACTTGCGAATTTGGATAGAATTATACGAAGAATTTTCAGCTAAAATTTCCTCAGTTGTTCGTAGTATATGGTTAACGTGAAGTGGTGTAAAACTTTTGTAAACTATAGCATGTATATTTTTTCACAATCAGTTCACAATTGTTTTCGGCGTTGAAATATGTTTTGTCGTATCACTGATGAAACTCCAATTCACCAGAATTTTCATATTGTCATCAACACATGTATTTGTCCATGTGTATTTTATTTTCCCACACTATACGTATGTATATGTTACAGTTCACAAAAACCAATAACAATTTCCTAGAATTTTCATATTGTTATCAACACATGTAGTTGTCCGTGTGCATTTTATTTTCCTACACCATACGTATGTATATGTTACAGTTTACAAAAACCAATAACAATTTCCTAGAATTTTCATATTGTCATCAACACATGTAGTTGACCATGTGCATTTTATTTTCCCACACGATACGTATGTATATGTTACAGTTTACAAAAACCAATAACAGTTTCTCAGAATTTTCATATTGTTATCAACACATGTAGTTGTCCATGTGCATATTTTTAATTTTAGATATTATCAGCAGTGGAACATTTGCATCGTCACAACATTGCCCATCGAGATTTGAAAACTGCAAACGTGTTGATGTTGAAACCCTATGGAGCTGCGGACACTGGTGAGGGATGTTTGAAAAACTTGTTAATTTTCGGGGAGTTCGAAAGTTAACATGATAACAATGGGGTTTCATCTGTGATATGAAAAACATATTTCACCGAGAATATCGCGTTTCTTACGAGGCTTTACGCCACTTCACATAAAACGGGTTGTGAAACTTCAATGTGAATCGGTTGACACCGACGTTTTTGAGGCGTTGCGTAGTCTAGAATTGATGAAAACCATGTGAAAAATGTAGATATACGTAAGTGTTTGATTCGGGCCTGGTTTGAATCTTTCACAGAGTGACCTTAGATATTTCCATACGGCTCTGTGATTTCGGTTGGTCTACGGAGTGTGTGGGGACAGTCGATGGTGACGCGGAGTTGATTGCTGAAGTAGATCCTAATGTAGTTAATGTTAACAGGAGGCACACTATATGTGGAACTGTGGACAGCATGGTAAGTGATAACACTGATGCATTAAGGAACTCATAATGTTATCGAACAGTTTACTATGTGAGTGTCTTCACATTGGGAACATAGCTTTGTTAAATCGGTATGTATCACTCCGAGTTGGAAGAAAATATGTTTGCATTCCTCAGCTGAGCTCAAGAGGTTGATTGTAGAAATATAAATACGCTTGTAATGAATTTCCACGGAGTTTTCATATGTCCACATTTCTCCAATATTGGTGTTGTCCTCAGCCGCCCGAAATGCTCATGGGGGCTCCTCATGGTTTGCCGTGCGATCGGTGGGCTTTGGGCTGTCTGCTGTACGCCCTTTTAGTTGGACATAGTCCTTATGCAGTGAGCAACAGTGGTGGAGTGCAACTGGCTGTGGTTAGAGATGTGAGTAGAATTAGTCTTTAGTGTTGGAAAAATATATGTTCGAATTCCTCAGCTGAGCTCAGGAGTTTCCTATGAAAATTCAGAGAAAATTTTGGAAAATTCTCGGTGGTTTCTGCATAATTTTTCCGAAAATTTTCACAAAATTTTTGTATTTCCTCACACATGTTTGGGGTGGTCCTCAGTGTTTGAGGAATATATGTTTGCATTCCTCAGCTGCTCAGCAGTTAACACACGAAGTAGGGCAGACTTGTTCAAAAACTCCCCAAAAAATTCGCAAAAATTTTCTCGGATTTTTTTTCCACTGGTGTTTTCTGTAGCGGATATTGACATCTAGAGGAGTACCGTACCCAGCTGGTGTTGGCAGTTCAGCAGCTCGCGACCTGATACATAGACTCATGCAGGTAATAAGTGCATTAATGGGGAATACTTTGAAAATTTCTAGCGAGTACCAATTCGAAACCGGTACGGCTTTTCCCTATGTGGCCGATTTTACATTTGTCGATATCTCACACAGCGTTGGAGAGAGCTCGATGAGGGCTATCAAATGGTATTTTTGTTGTTCACGAACTGTCACTTGCTGTGAAATTACGACGGATGGGCTCCTTTTTTTGCATCATCCTGTAGTAGTAAATTATGGTCATAGTAGTGGTGTTACTCCTAAGGACTCAGGTAGCTTTGAAAGGTATCGTTTTTGAGGGTTTGATAACAATGGGGAAAATGTTTATAATGTGATGACATTTACATGGGAAACTGATTGAAGAATGTGTTCCTGGCCATACGTGGAAAATGCAAAAGGATGATTCTTTGGTAGCTTCTGTCCCAACCCACAATCATCAGTAGATAGCTACATAGCCTCGTCCCTCAGCTAGTGTATCGATTGTGAATCGTGTGTATATATCTGCTCTAGTCGTTGAGTAGAACAATGCACTTTTTAGTTGAATCCTAAAGCGAGAATGCATGCTTCGACGGCTATGGAGCATGGTTGGATTCAGAAGTATCACTCGGTGTCGCGAGATCCGTCCTCATTGGGTAGTATTAGTGAGGATGACGATGATGAAGTGAAGTGTGAGGAGCAACGAAGAGGTGGGGGGCCGATCGCGGCTGGTGTGAGGAGGACGCTATGGTGTTAGTGATGACGGCCCAGTTGAAAGTGCCGGGATTGGCCTCCTACTCGGGGGTATTCACGAATCATAACTTACTACCGATTCCGAATGGCGGTTTCATTGGAGTAATGTAGTGGGTGGGGGATGAGAGTCGGGAGTGTTGGTTAGATGATGCCATCACCACTACCACCATCACGGGAAATTCCGGCAAGGGCAGCAGGACTCATGGAAGGGACTGAGCCAGTGGTAGTAGTAGTAGTAGGAGTAGTAGTAGTAGTAGTAGTAGTAGTAGTAGTAGCATGTGTTAGTGACTGAGCCAGTGGTAGTGGTAGTACATCCTTTTCTGTCGAATGAATTTCCGTGCTGTCTTGTGAAGTAGACGGATAATAAGAATCATTCAGAAAAATCCTCGTGATGTTGTTGTTGTTGATCCCGTGCACAGTAATAAAGTAGCATGATGGTATCCATATGTACAGGTCCACACCAGCACACTTGCGAACATGGCCTTACCACCACCGTTGGCGACGCTCACCTCAGCTGATTTGGTAAGACGACGACCCAGGGGGGTCTCGGTAGCTTCCTGTTGCCTCAGTCTCCATTCGCTCTCCCATTACGACAGCAGCAGCAGCCTTTAGCAGCAGCAGCTGCTGTCCCCCCTCCTCCTGTGTACAGTATCCCTCCACTGTCCTCGGGGCAGTTGCCGATGATGATGATGGACTCTTATTGGCAGCAAGCTAAACGAGGGAATCTCCATTGATACGTTGTTGTTATTATTATTAAACTGTCTAATAATCATCTATGCTCCTTGGTTATATTGAATTACCTCATTTGCGCCCTTTAGAGAATGCAGTACTACTCCCTGTGTGGCATGCTGCTGCTGCTGCTGCTCGCATGTTCGTAATTCACAATGCGTGTTGAGTTGCCGTAGTTGATAGTGCTGGGCAGAGCTACGAGACCGCGTATCGGTACATTCAATGGTCGACGTAACTGAGAACTTCTGAGAATCACGATGCTTCTGAGATGAAGCTTATGCCGTCGAGGACGGAAAAACGTATATTCGCTGTCATCTGTAAGGGGTATCACATTGCCGGTATAGATGTGCGATATCCAACAGAGCACATGAGTGAGGTCCCTAGGTTGGATCCAGAGGGGAACACGATCATGTCAGGAAGAGGATCCATGGTGCTATCCTAACACGGAGCATCGTCGTGCTTCCTACGGTATCGGTTCGGTTATTTTAAGCTCGTTCGCGCGAGGGCACTGTTGCTGACGCGTACAGTACTGTGTTGAGTAGTATATGATTATGTTACTATGAAACTAAGACGGCAGGAATCGAACCTGGATCTCTCGAAGGACAGAAACATTGGTCGGGTGCGCTACTATTCAGCTATTTGATTTGGTAAACAACCAAAAATTCGATGAAGTATGCGATCCAAACGCACTATTGGCAGCACGAGCCTGCTCATACAAGTGCGGACATTCACACCAACTTCCTACGACGTATTTATTTATATCGACATGGAAGTTTCCGATACTTTTCTCTCCAGTGCGTCCATTGAAGAGCAAGGCTCGATCACCTGCCTCCATATTTGTGATACCCATGCCGTTACAAGACTTCACCCTCACCTTCCCATTTGACCAGCCAACTCATATGCGATCACTATGCACATGTTCACACATTACAACGGGTGTCTGGGTAGCCTGAGAGTACTTATGAATTACCACATGCTATGGCTAGGCGAATGCACTCCTATAATAGGAGTCCTATTCCATGAACATCATCAATCGGTCATCTCGTGTATATTGTAAAACGCATTACGGCATCATGTTGGGGTTTCCAGTGTATGACGGTTACAGCTCAGCCCGTCAACTCCCTGGCCACAGTTAGGCAGGTCTTCGCCTAGGGTCAGAATGTGTCGTTCGAGCTTTACTTCTAATAACCCAGCGTAGCATATCAGATTGCTCAATGGGAGGCCTAGATCGCTTAGGGAACTGATAGACGACTAGATCCGCTTCCTCACCCATTTGGCCCGGGTTTGCGGGCAACGGTCGTCCCAGTAATTCACTGTTTACCTTATATCCGATCACAGAATTGATCATATTCCCATTATAGGGTGCTGTATCGCCTCAAATTCGAATAAAAGTCGTCTTTTACAGGAGTATTACAAAAAGCCCTTGAAAATACATTCAACAGATTCATGTGGGTTACTTTTCTCACGCTAACTCTACCTCAAGGATTATACTAATTAACGATATATAACGCACTAGTGTTCTAAATCAAAGGTTCCCCTCTCCTGCCGAAACTAGTTTAACACAATAGTTACGAGTTGTATAAAAGAACAACGTTTTCTTGTTTAGTGTACGTAATAGTCAACTTCGCTTTCCTCTCCCTCCTCTAGGGTCTCGTGGCTGGGGACGAGCTTAGCGACCACCCTAGCATTCGCCCATCGGCGAAACCTTTTAGCGAGACGGTCCATACAGCATAGAATTATAAAGGTCAGGATGGTGCCAACCAGAGATGCAATTAATCTGAAAGGGAGACGATTCGCTCGAGGAGTGGTATGAGAACTTACTGAGTTGGTGAGAAGAATTCTTCCACAGCAGCCATAAACCCAGTAGTGTTGCCGCTGATATCACCATTAGGTAGAGTAGCGTTGGAGTCTTGGTCAGAGTACACCATATCCCCCAGAGCGTCCATGGTAGCGTTTAACCTGAACAAGCTCATAAACCAGACAAAGACAAGTTCCACTTACATTTTGTCGAAGTATTCTATCGCTCCAGGCACTGCTGGAGGAGTGTTGAAGGTTAACTGAAAGGGAGATAGTCGAACCAGTAGTCACCAGTGAGTTAAGGTTACCTCAGATTGAGAAGCTGGAGTAGGGACGGCAATAATGCCGAGGAATAGTAGGATACGGGTAGCTTTCAAAGCAATGTTCATTGCGACCGAATGATCGATACGATCAAGTAGCTTGGTTAGGCCGTAAACGTGCGATCTTTTGGGGATTCGCCAGCCGTTTCAAAACGGTCGTTTTAGGGCGAGCTCGGTTTAAGATGCGCCGTTAGAAAGTTGCACGCGCCATTCTGATCGATTTGCACGCTCGGCGCACTTTGGTGAGCTTGCACGCAGATGAGGCTTTGGGGGAATGGACGTGACAGGCGATGCCCGGCTTAATATTCAACCTTTCGAAGATGCTTAGATTGTCGCTCTCGGTAATGGTCATTACATGCTGAACTAGGCGGGATTACTGCACTCTGCTGAAGGCATACTGATGAATCGACAGCTCCGAGTCAATTGAGACTATTCTTAATAACGAACAATACATGAATGTAGTCATCACGTCCTACTGCTCTAAGGCTACGGCCCTTATCCTCTCTCTCTTCCTACGTACCTGGCGACATTCTCATTCGACCTATCACCGCTTGTGTCAGCTATTCTTAGAATGATATTAAAGAATCACACACACCCGTGAACCCCGAGGGAATCGGTATAATACGCTAGAGACCTTCACTCGAGAGTTCTTGCTGCGGAAATAGACCGGAGGACTTGATTACAAAACGCTACTCACTCGAGACTATATGGACGAGGTCGAATAGGGGGACACTAAATACCCGATGCAGGATTCGGACCTACAACCATCTGCTCCTTAGGCAGACATTCTATCCAGCTGAACTAATCGAGGGATATTAGTACGTTAGACACGGGCTACACATTAGTCAACTGAAGCAAGCAGGAGAGTCGGTCATGGCCAAGAAGAAATGCCGCGCGGTGACGTCAGAAATGAGTGTGCCCTGAGGGAAAAAACGCCAAGTGTAAGCGCTTCTTCCAAGCTTGCATGCCAAATGTCAAGCCGAAACTCGAACTCTGTTGGCCAATTTGGCCTACGGAGTATACGATCGAGTTTGAAACTCGATAGTTAAAGTTTGACACCGAAGACGACACCATGCGCCACCATGACACTAGATGTAGACATTCCGATCCATTGAAGTATCAAGTCCGATCTCCTTATTCAATAATTGAAGTACCTCCACCTGAACTATGTAATGATGACACATCCTCGCGAATGGTGGATATTCAACAAGATGCGTAGGCGAGTGAAGCCTGTTTACAATCATTACTGTCATATGTGGCACAACTGGCCTCGTATTGAACGGAAGCATCCCCGGTTGTTTGTTACCCTACACGAAGCTTGTGGAGTGTGGAGTGGTGCAAACACTGGCTCGTGACGCGCTCTCCCACGAAGCTAGTTACTCCGAGACTTGGAGTAACTAGCTCGGAGTCCGAGCTATACCTAGCCTGTGTATTTTCACTGTTGTTGTTGTTGTTGCTGGTCCTAACTCTTACTGTGAGGCTATTGACACTTCACCTCATCTATCAGTTGCGGGTGAGCGTGCTGGCTCATTTTGTCCATCCGGTAGTTTCTGATTGTCTGCATCTTGACGTGCAATCCTCAACTGGGTGAGGAATCCTGAGGATTCACTGAGAATGGCCGTCCGATGGCCAGAGATGAAGTCGACAGGGCGGGATTAATTGAGTTAACGAGTTTTTGGGTGGGAAGCTGCGACCGAGCCTGTGTTTGCAGCGTTCAGTGAGTTGGCTTATCTGTCGTCATAATCGGTGACACGGTATGTGAGCTCCTGATGTGTGGCGCAAATTCGATGCAGAAAAGTGTCGGAACTTCTAACGATTCATGAGAGTTCAAACTTTGAACTTCAAAGTGAGCTCAAATACACACAAGATATACATGGGTCTCGCTCCAACGTAGTGGCGTAAACAAGAGTGGACTAGTCAGGCCCGGAGAGGGATTGTGCGGGTGCTCCAAGAGCACAATACACACACGTGAACGTAAAGGCAGGTCACGTGAGAAGTCCACATCATAAACCCAAAACGAAAACGTGAAACCGTTGAGGCGAGCGGATGGTCTGCTCTGCAAAGGCCGTCGCTTCACTTCTGTGCGTATCCACTCATATCACAGTTATCATTATTGAAATATCTTCTCTACTGATAGCAAGCGATGGCTAGGGGAATGTTGTGCATATCATTTCAATTTTGTGATGCCCTATCCTGTTCTGAGACTCTTCATTGTGCGGGTGCTCCAAGAGCACAATACACACACGTGAACGTAAAGGCAGGTCACGTGAGAAGTCCACATCATAAACCCAAGACGAAAACGTGAAACCGTTGAGGCGAGCGGATGGTCTGCTCTGCAAAGGCCGTCGCTTCACTTCTGTGCGTATCCACTCATATCACAGTTATCATTATTGAAATATCTTCTCTACTGATAGCAAGCGATGGCTAGGGGAATGTTGTGCATATCATTTCAATTTTGTGATGCCCTATCCTGTTCTGAGACTCTTCATTGTGCGGGTGCTCCAAGAGCACAATACACACACGTGAACGTAAAGGCAGGTCACGTGAGAAGTCCACATCATAAACCCAAGACGAAAACGTGAAACCGTTGAGGCGAGCGGATGGTCTGCTCTGCAAAGGCCGTCGCTTCACTTCTGTGCGTATCCACTCATATCACAGTTATCATTATTGAAATATCTTCTCTACTGATAGCAAGCGATGGCTAGGGGAATGTTGTGCATATCATTTCAATTTTGTGATGCCCTATCCTGTTCTGAGACTCTTCATCATCCTGTGGGTGGTCGTTGCTACCCTAGGCAGCGACTATGAAATGGATGATCAAAGTGGATAAAAGTCCAATATCACTGTGGAGGGGACTGACGATCACAGGGATGTCAGTGAGGATGGCGATGATGCTGTTAGTGCCGTGTCTAGTCCAAGAAGGAGAGCGAAGTTTCACAACCTTTGCGGTGCGTGCCAGACTTGCTGGCTCTACCTCTGCTGTGGTGGGCCCATTTGTTGGGCTATAATTGGGGACTGTGGCGGGGAATGTGACTGCTGTAACCAGCATTAACAAATTGTCTGTTTGCCAAGGAGCTGAGGAGCCAATGGCCCATTCGATGATGTGATCCAAATTTCACCAGATCGCCTACATTTGACCGTCAAATGTGCGCCGAATATTAACGAGGTCTATTATTATCGTCCTCAATCTTGACGTTCCATAGTCATCATTCTTTCTTCTGTCATCGTCGGATCGATTCCGTCTACATTTCTGACCCTATTTGATTCCATTCGACTCCATAAATTGGTACATGTGCTGGGGCCTGTGCTCACCGTGACGATTGAAGACGGGGCCGATGGTCAGTACTGCGTGCACTTAGGGGTTTGCTGGACGGATTCTCGGAATTCCATTCTGTTAGCAGTTCAACGTTCGTCATTAGTCAATCTTATGATCTCTACGGTATTCAACTCTTCTTTGAATAAACTGAGAATCCATCTTTGCCTTTTGTTGAGTTACATGGTAATATGATTCGAAGTGTTAGATTATTGTCACTGAGGTAGAGGTTCTGATAAGTATGGACAAAAAATTCTACAAAATTCTTCACCTCAGGGCGTGAGTTCGGAAACATCACAGAGCGCGTCAAGCCTGTGCTCCGCTGTATCATTCATAAGCGAAAGCCTTGAAACCCAATTCATCGACTCGACCGTCTTTTCGCTATAGAACTGCTCTGGAGATGCTTCAGTGTGCGGCGTATTCATGCAGCACCACGTAAGTTCGAACATTTGAAGACCAAGCTCTGGTTTACCCTGGAACCACGCTCTTCTATAACTGTCCCTATACCAGCCATCGATGCCAGCAACTTCCTCATCATCTACAACGCCTATAGTCCTATCCGCAAAATGATCAGCACAATACGGCAGTACCCCCAGATGATGCTGTGAATTAGAATCTGAGTAATCCAGACAAGAGACAAAAGGTCCCTCCGCCAAGATCTTCATTAGAGCCCCGGTGTTCCGAGTATCATCGGACAGTGTCCGATGGACACTTTCGCGCCATGCGCGTCGACTGCCAAGCTGCAAAGCCGTTCTTCACCCCCAACGGTATCAATGCCCCAACGGCATATAGATTTTATCACCAGGGGGGAGCCTCGCTTCGCCCCCAGCGACCCTGACGCAATACGACGTTGTCAACCGATGGTATGTATCGCCGAACATTCTTGCGTAAGACCTCCTTACTTATTTTCTCCCCAATTTTGCCAGTTTGCAATCTCCGTGCTTGAAGTCATTCAATGTCCCCTGAATCGGAGATGTACAATGCATTGGAGGTTTTACGGCAGAATCTAACGAATTGCGGATGATTTTGACTAATGGATCAGGTCAGTCTAAACAGCGCATGTGAAGCATCAATTTGATGATGACCTTATCACATTGGACATCTGATCTTATGAGTTCTGCACTATTCAAACCTTCCGTTTGACAACATCCCTGGTCTACATATACATGCGAAACAGATGGCACCCGTCCTCTCAAGTTGAGAGTCTCAACTCCTTTAGTGCTTCTGCAACATGCGCCAAAGTTTGGCGGCCAAACTTGTGTATGCCCTCACTTTGAGGAGCATTACACATTTTGGTTCGGAGTTATGGAAGAAGCAAGGGCCGAAAGTCACTTTCGGCCACATTCACTTTTTTCTGCCACTGTGGCAGAAAAGCTAGGCTTGGCGGCTTCTGAGATGGATATAGAATTGAAGTTCATCGGGAAATACCTTAAATGGGGCGGCCCAGGATTCGAGTTCTCGGGTGCTATGGCTGATCCTGTCTCAACTATGTCTTTTCTTCGGCGGTTCGTTGCATGTGATGGTAGTGTTGATCAGATGCCATTGCATGCAGTTATTGCTGGGACTATTTTGGTAAATCCATTATCTACAGCTTCATGCGAGAGAACGTTCTCCACTTACACCAGGGTATCAAGCAAACTGCGGAAGTCTCTAACCAATACGAGACTATCCTTGCTGGTAGAATGCTCTCTACGTTGCCCTCTATTTCCCGATTTTGACATTCTACTAGGATGTTGGAATGTCGAACGAGCTGATCCAGCATAACATGAGGCATTGTAACCACTCAACATATTAATCGAATTGGAATATGCATAGCCTTCATGGGGAATAAGTTGGTGGCGGAGGGAACAGCTCATCGTAACTGACAAGCTGTAGTTATGGTAATGATGAATCTCAGAGTGACCTTGGTGGGTTGTCGTTCGCATTAGCTCCTCCTATTTGATTATCTCCAGCAGCACTTCTGAGATGAAGCTTATGAATCAAATCGATTGACGAAGATCTCAAAGCACATTGCCTCAGGCATCGTCCGCAACTACACAGCGAGATGTCTATCCTTAGTTCTATTGCCATCTCGATCTCACAACAGTCCTAATTTCCAACGCAGCGTTGGCAACGCTGGGGTTTGTGGCTTCTAAAAGTCGCAAAAATTGACGTCCCAGGTGAACTGTGAGACAGATCCAGACTAGCCATCGGAATGGGCTTGAGCATATCGAAGGGGTACGACATGGCCAGATCGCGGTAGAACACGTTCTATGTTGTAGATCTACCGAGAAGCTTGCTCCCTCGGATCTCGGTGTATTTTATGGTTGCACCTTGCAAGTCAAGAATACCACACTCTTCATCATCGCTCATCTGTAGCGAGCTCTCCGCGGCCTTTCCGACAGAGCACAAGCCAATAACGTGCTTGACCAGATTACGAATAGAATTGGTTTATTTGTGCGCGACGCGTGGGAGGTCGAAGCCGCACAAATTGGTTGTGCGAATCCTGTTCATTCGTAACGTTTTACGTGGAGTACGTGGGTTGATTAATGTTGATAGGGCAGGTGGACTCCGGAATCAGGGGGACTTCTGGGATCTTTTCTTTCGGTATCCGTCTTGGCTCAAGCGAGTTGTAAACATCTTCTGACGACTAACTCCTCATCTTGCCCCGATGTCAGTGTAGGGTTGTTCACCAGTGGTGATTGGCTTGATCATGAAGACGCTGTATGTTGCGGTTATGCCGCCACGGACTGAACTCATTGCCATTAAAGTCTCAAGGAAAGACTAACTTGAATTGCTTAGTAGTCGGATCTATCTATTTATCTAATAATAGGGATGGCCATAGCTCGGCCCGAGCAAAAGCACGCCATGCAAACGCAAAAGTGAGTCAACGCGCAGAGAGAAAACATGACTATGATGAATTGATAATCCCCTCACCCCCTCTCCAATGTTGGGACTCCTAGAGCCGAGCACTCAATACTTGTGTCTAGAGCCAACATTGGATGGGGGTAAGGGGGGCGCGCGCGGCTGAGTCATATTTTTGCGACTGACTGCAGTAGAACGTTTCCGGCTGGAAGCGCGAGCGATTTCCGTCTCTCGCTCAGGCCGGGGACTTTCCAATCGAGAGATGACATACTATCGGACAGCGTCTCAGAAAGAAAGCATTATAGAGAACAGCCGATCCGGTCTTTCTTCGCGCCAGATAGCTGCAAGGGTGGGATGCAGCCAGTCATCAGTCGCTAGGATCGTTCGACAAAGTGCAGTGCAGAAGGAGCATAAAACGGCGGAGTTCAACCAAGGACGGCCCCCGCTCATCGACAGTCGAAGGCGTCGCATCATTCTGAGGGATTTTAGCTCCGCTAGAAAGGCTATACCATTTCTCACGGCGAAGGCCTTCTATTTATCTCGAAAATTCGCCTTTTCTTAAGATACATTCCTTCGAGTGATCCGCGACGAGGGGTGGCGATGTCTCCGTACTACGCGGCGGGTTCTGCAGCGTCGAGGTGATCGTCAGAAAAGAATTTCTTGGGCCTCGGCAATAAAGAAGGCATGCCAGGGTGATAAGAATAAGGTATCAGCGTTTTTCGATATCGAATCGGGCTGTACATGGATGGGGTGACGATTGGATTTGATGCAGAGGGTTTTCGAGCTGATGCTACGGAGAGGATATGGGACAATGCCAGCTATGTAACGCCAACTCGCAGTGCTTTCAGATTGAGTAAAAAAATTAAATTTGTCGGGGTTTTAGCATGGGGTGAGCGTCCAATAATCACGCCAATAGAGAGTAACTCGGCCAAATCGTACGAGTCCGTTTACCGTACTGTTGTGATTCCGTTATTAAAGAAGAGAAGTAGAAGGAATCACGATGTCCGTAAGACTCTGCTAGCAGATAATTATAGCGCTCCTAAGACGGCTTCCTGTAGAAGGGTTCTCAGTGCAGCTGGGTGCTCATTTGTGGACTTTCCTCCGAGAAGTCCAGACTTAGCATGCATAGAAACGTCGTTCGCCATCCTGAAGAGTCGCCTACGTTCGGCAGCTACTGCAGAAGGTCCCTGTCCAAGCAAAGAAGCATTTGTGGACCGAGTGAAAGATATTTACTCTAGTATCGACGGAGATACTCTTATCAATAGCATGAGCAGGCGTTTGGAGATGGTTATGCGGAGTAGAGGGCGGCTGATAAAATACTGATCCATTCTGGCGATCACCAGTTAGCTGTGAATTATTCCATGATTGTGCATGTCAACATAATTTTTACGCAACACCGGGGACAGTTTTGTTCGTCAATCTTGGGTACGGGTAGAGTCTTGTAATTGGGACATTCTTGGGAAGCTAGAGAAAGGACGATCATCATTTAGTACAAGATATCATCATCAAAGGCTTAGTTCGCACAATTCCGTTCGCTTTAATTTTTTCGAGCGCTGAGCTACCTATATAGAAATGAACCTCATTTGCTGTATAACACTTGCGGTCCATTCTGATCCCCTGATCAGCTGATCAGCTGATCACTTGACTTCTAGAGAATATTCAGAGTTATGTTTTTCTTAATTTTCTGCTGATCAGTGATCAGTTGATCAGCTCCCGTTGATTGGCATGGAATTCCTAGATGTCTCGGCCGCTCAGTCCCAAGCAAATATATCTGAGTCCTCACATATAAACCTCACATTCGACACTGCTATTGGTTCAATCGTGGATTTTCTGGTACCGGATGATATTCCTTTGAGCACATATCCGTCTGTCGATCATCATGACTCTAAGGACGAGGTGAGAATCTATACCTTCCAATGTAGCCATGCTCATACGATGCCATGCTCACGTGACTTTAGGACCACATATCAGAGCTTCCAATATCCGCAACACCCCCGAGGCGCTCTCCTGACTATTCTTGCTACTATCTTATCACATGGGCGAAACCCTGTACCATCAATGAGAATACACTCCTCCCCGAGATTGATGTGAGCAAGGAGAGTTTCGGACGAAGAGTCGAGCAAGCATTCCTTCATCAACGTATACCTTTGAAGTTTTACTGTATTTGTTCAGAAGAGCACCGCGAAAGCGGAGGTACTCACTTTCATGTATCTACCTGTGCATCTAGACGTCATCGATGGCCATCTCTGGCCAAATATTTGAGAGAGCAGAATTTTTTTGTCAACTTTCGGTCGTTCAGATTCTGAACTTCAGAAGCTATTTAGGCTGTTACACGTACTGCTGTAAGATGGACCCTAGTCCATATCTGAGTCGTGATCACCCTGCCATGTCGATGCAACCCTCGTTGAAGGAGTTCCGAGCCTCTGATGAGAAGCGAGATACCGGACAGTCTTGTCGGATAAGGCGTCTGAGCGATCTCGCCCCGTGGATTGTGACGAAGAAACTGCGGACCGAACGCGATTTTCTAGCTGCTGCATATCAGGAAAAGAATGTTAAAGAGTATATCATCAATCAGAAGGATTCCATTTCGAACCTTCTATGTAGAGTGTGGAACATCGAGGATTCTGCATCAGAGGCCAAGAGAACTAAAACGACTCGTTTGGCTAGATTAGCGAACGCCGCCCAAGGTCCCTGTGCCTGCAAAGGCGTGACGGAAATCGCAATGCTCGAGATATTATCGCATAACGGAATCAAACCATCTCACTTTGCGACCGCAATAGTCAAGCTTCTCGAGGTCGGGCGTAGTCGAAACTGTAATCTATCTTGTTCCGGTCCGAGCGGTTGTGGGAAATCATATCTCGTTCGTCACTTGTCTGAAATATATCGTACCTGTTCTCTAGCTTCCGGCAGCTATCCTCTGTCAATTTTGATGGAGAAGGATGTTGAACTGTTCATTCTTGACGACTTCCACTATTGTGGACGACAGATTGGTTTTTCTCTCTCCGACGCTCTGCCTTTTTTCGAAGGAAAGAAGGAAATTACTCTACCCTTACCCAAGAATGGTAGCAAGTGCGATGCTTTGTATAAGAACGATGCCCCAGTAATCATAACGGTCCCTGCGAGGTTTCAATGCTGGGATTTGACCCCGGACGACAACGATATGTTGAATCAAAGGTTTAAGTGGATCTATCTAACTAATCCTATTGACATATCAAGTCGCAAAGATCTTCCAGTCTGTGGAAGTTGCTGTGCTAGAGTCATTCTCCGTAATTCTTCTGGTACAGGTTAGTTATAGTGGGATGGCTTCGGCTCCGAGTCATTGCATGATACTAATTGATGATATGAGATAGTGTATGTCATTGGGTTTTCCTAGTAGTGCGGTATGTTTCGCAGTGGTAAACAACTCCGGAGTACTGCTCTGTTCACAGTTTTGAGTTCCCGAATTATCATGAGTGGTGCGACGTCACGTCGCCGACGTGATGTCCCAAGGCTGTCTCCCACACTGCAAATGCATGCAAACGCAAAAGTGAGTCAACGCGCAGAGAGAAAACATGACTATGATGAATTGATAATCCCCTCACCCCCTCTCCAATGTTGGGACTCCTAGAGCCGAGCACTCAATACTTGTGTCTAGAGCCAACATTGGATGGGGGTAAGGGGGGCGCGCGCGGCTGAGTCATATTTTTGCGACTGACTGCAGTAGAACGTTTCCGGCTGGAAGCGCGAGCGATTTCCGTCTCTCGCTCAGGCCGGGGACTTTCCAATCGAGAGATGACATACTATCGGACAGCGTCTCAGAAAGAAAGCATTATAGAGAACAGCCGATCCGGTCTTTCTTCGCGCCAGATAGCTGCAAGGGTGGGATGCAGCCAGTCATCAGTCGCTAGGATCGTTCGACAAAGTGCAGTGCAGAAGGAGCATAAAACGGCGGAGTTCAACCAAGGACGGCCCCCGCTCATCGACAGTCGAAGGCGTCGCATCATTCTGAGGGATTTTAGCTTCGCTAGAAAGGCTATACCATTTCTCACGGCGAAGGCCTTCTATTTATCTCGAAAATTCGCCTTTTCTTAAGATACATTCCTTCGAGTGATCCGCGACGAGGGGTGGCGATGTCTCCGTACTACGCGGCGGGTTCTGCAGCGTCGAGGTGATCGTCAGAAAAGAATTTCTTGGGCCTCGGCAATAAAGAAGGCATGCCAGGGTGATAAGAATAAGGTATCAGCGTTTTTCGATATCGAATCGGGCTGTACATGGATGGGGTGACGA